GTAGAGAGGTATTCGTTGTGGATAATCCGCCAAACTGGGCCACGACGACACTCCGATACCGATTAATAGCCTGACCTCAACTTCGCGAGCTTTAAATCCATCCAGTCCGATTCTGAGCAGTATCCCAGCAGCGTCTTCGATCATGGCCACTCGATGATTCCTCCGTTCCGATAATGGTCCATCCGAGGCGGCTAGAACAATCGCGTAGTTGTTATCTAGAGGCTGGCACGTTGTTAAAAATCGCATCGTTAGCCAGGGCTGCTGTTCCGCGCGAGACACGCTTGATTTATAAGACGCTCCTTAATACAGTTACACGGAAACTGGGCATACTTGGCGGGTGCTCGTTATTCTAAATCCCCTACAGTCATTATTAAGCAACTTCGCCCGGGCGTCTTGTTCTGATTTATCGAACACCCGGTATATCGAATTACCAAGTTGCTCGGTGGATCGGTTATTTAATACAAAGAGAGGATAATGGACGAGCAGCAGCAGGACGAGAAGAAGGAAATGGAGGGGCAGGAAGAAGAGGGGGTGTATGAAGGAAGTTTTGGAGGCACGCGTGAAACGGGCAAACGATGGCGCGACGTTGACGAGGCGTACGGAGTGCGCGAAATGAGAAATCGAGGTGGATGATAACGTGGAGGCAGACGTTTCGTCCTTGTTTACGAGTCGGCTCCCTTTTCCTTTTTGCCACCGCGAAAGATAAACCGTACGGTAATAGTATGTGAAGATGGACCGTTTCAAAACTCGAACGTTATCCGTGGAAGGAGAATTTATCGCGCACTTTTATCCTCCTTAATTAACGACGGCGTTTAAGTTTCCCAATAATTCAGGGAACGCTACCTGGCCCGTAGAATATCCGACAGTAGTCCGGTTGCTTGAATATCTTGTCGAGAACTTCAGCATCCACTACTTGGCCAGGAGAGACGCAAAGTTTATCGTCCGCTGTACCACCGGTAACATCTGAAACAGACACTCGACGCTTTTTCCTTGTTCAATCTCTTCCGAAAGTTTATTAACTTTCGTTTGCATTTCGTGTATCTTGATGAACCAAAGAATCGCGGAATCATCCACTCAACTAAATAGATTGTTAGGCGCGAAATACCTCGTTTAATAGCTGCGGCCAACAAATTTGCTAATTTGGCTTTCACGAGATCCCTCCTCAATCTCCCCGCAGCATCCATGTACTCCCGCCAGGCTTCCGCTCCGATGCCGAGCATCTTCAGGCGAATAAAGCCTGGTAGAGAGGCGTCTTCCTCCACGCTCACCCTCGAGATTCCCAGGCCAAGACTCGGAGTCGACAGCGCGTCTATTCGTAACAGGTATTCGAACCTAAATTCCTGAAGAGAGAAAAAGAGAGAAGAAGAGTAGCAGTAGGTAGTATATCTCCTCGAGCTTCTGAACATGACGGTGTCGTTACTCTCTTCTCGCCTTTTTTTTTTTACCTGTATTCCACGAGGTTCGTTCAACGAAACGAGAAACATGGAGGAGAATCTTCGATCGAGATTACCAGCGCCCACCATTAAACGTTGAACCAATCTCTCCACGGTGGCTTCGATCGCGAAGGCGTTCGAGGAATCTACAACAAATCCATCCAACTGTTGGCACGTTCGTGTGTAAGAACTCTGATAATAATTAGAGCTCGTGAATTCCTGATCGAGATGCTCGTTAAACATTCACCGTTCTGAGACTCGTCGACCAGTTTCCGGAAATATGTGTCGAGGTTGTGCAGTTGACCCTTGGTGAAAGCAAGCTTCGTCGCCATTAATCGTATGCCGCCCTTCTTGCACGATGATCCGCTAGGTGCGCAGCCCATTCTCTCTTAAAAGAGAAAGAGAAACGATGGTAAAATCGAATTTCGTACACAAACTGGATGTACGACGCAACTACGAAGTAGGAAATCAATGATTTCCGGATTGAAAGATAGAGAAGAAGAGAAAAACGCGTAATGTTGTTTCGTTCGAACGGAAATACATGGGTACAATTCGTTTCCTGAATCAGTGAGGGTCGTGATGGGGAAACAGGGAAGAAGAAACGACGCAATGCGATAAATCACCGAGGAAGAATCGATGTTTCGAGCGTCCGTATGAAACGCTGTTAAATCACACCGCTTTGCCGCGTGTAACTCCGCCGCTAAGCAGCCAGATAGCCTGAAACTGTTTCGAAACGGTTTAAGGAATTCCACGGGAATGCACATTCCGCTTTCTCGACGGATTCCATGCATATGTCTCTGTCAGCTTGCTGTATAGCTTCACGTTCATTCATCGTGACACTCTACCCCCTTTTTTTTCTCGCGTCTTCCTCCATTTCTATTTCTCTTCCCCCTCCCCATCTTGTACGCCTACGATGTATCGTTTTAGACAAACGTTGAAATTACGAAATTTTCGAGGAATATCGTCGTATCGGTAGTGCAGTTATACCGACGCGACGGTATAACGCAACGAGTTTCTATTACACGGAAAGATAAAACAGATTCGATTTACTCTTCGGTGCGTACCTTTGAAACGACGACGAAGTCACAGGCATAGATCCACAGCAAATACTGAACGAACGCTATATCACGGAGCAAAGCCACCGAGTGACGTTTCCATTCCATCCGGAAAGATATTGTCGCTCCGCAATCGTAACCATGTAAATGCACCGAACGCCAATTATTATTCAGCGGATCGGCTAACAATACCATCACAGTGTTCGGCCACCGGAATTACTTCCGATCCTGATTGTGTGTGCTCGACTTCCGCTCCCATGAACGTGTATCCGTTGCCTCATATACATTATGCTACCATTACGATATTCTCAACTAGCCACACGCATGCAAACACATATGCACACGCACACACACACGCAAAACTAGCGAGCTAATGTAATAAATGAAAAAGTACAATTATTTCGAAGATTTAGGAAACGCAAAAAGAATTCATATGTTTCATGTTCTTGCTGCGACATGTACGTTATATAATTCGAATATCTAAAATGGCAATTCTTCCGGTAAAATTGTCTGCCATCTAGGAGGAATAAAGATAAATTAGGCCATTTGGTACTACTCGATCAAAATAATTTACTTTGTTATCGCGAGTAAATAAACACGCAATTATCCAGATTCGTATATTTTAACGGTACCGAGAAAATTGTGAATTAACGTCAGTATTGTTACTGTACAAATTTCAACTACTTCTAACAAGAATGACGTTTGTATAAAAGAAGACTGTGTATATTCCTTCGAAAGTCATTCTTATTGAACAATTGATTTTTCCGACGATATTGGAAGTTATTTTACCGACTATAGATACCGGGTAGCTTGAAAATACAAATGGTACTTGCAGTGCAAGAAACGTAATGCAGCGACATCAATGACGTAAGAAACAAGCAAACCTTGTACTTTCTATTTAATAAAGGAGATTTTCTTGCTGGTTTAGCAAATTTCTTGAAAATTTAAATGGATCAACAACTACCTTTATCTAACTTCGATTAATACAGAAATGAACGTACTAGTAAATTCGTAATTTATCTTACAAATATTGTTAGAATAACCACATACTAGCGACATCTTACAATCACAAGGAATTGAATATGTATTATTAATTTAAAGACACTGTATTTCTGAGAGGTTGAGGTCCTCACGATCGCAAAATGGCACGCGGATAGTAAGAATTATCAAGAAATATAATAAAAAATATTCACGGCGAACGATCGTACCGAATAACGATGGCGTCGGCTTATATTAAAGATGAACAAGGTAAGAAACTTCGTTTCATTCGATCATTTTATTTACCTCCATCGTTACATTATGTATAACCTGTAACATGTAAACAATCTGTATATACAAAATGTAAGCCAAGTCCTGATACCATTATACTTCCTGAAATTATAACTAAATCTTAAAAACATTTGCTATGAAATACATGTAGTATGTCTAATGAAATCCAAAGAATATAATGTACCAAAGCTATTCAAAAAATATTTACATGTTGATTCATAAAATTCATTTTTTTATTAAAAATATTTTCACAGGAGGAACATTCATCCCTGCCAGTCAACGTCCAGATGGCACATGGCGTAAGCCACGCCGTGTAAAAGATGGTTATATACCTCAAGAAGAAGTTCCACTGTATGTACTGACTCACAAAATAATCATAGTGTACCTATCTCTTTCAAATCTTACATTCTTGTTTTTTTTTTCTTTTTCAGATATGAAAGTAAAGGTAAACAGATAAAAAATAAACCCATATACCCAATAGGTGCAAGTCCAGAATTCATAGCAGAGCACAAAGCTAAACAGGAAGCATTACTAGCAACAAAGTCCAAAACTGTTCCTGGTGCTCAAGTTAAAACAGAAGTTAAAAAGAAGAAGAAAAAGAATAAAAACAAAACAACTGAACGTATAACAGAAGAACTGGCTAAAACCAAGCTCTTAGAAGCAGAACAAAAAAAAGAATCCTTGTCACATAATAATAAACAACCCAGTGGAAAGTCTGTATTGAACAATCAAACTCCAACATCCAAACCAAATGTTTTAACTCAGTCTGAAACTTTAATATCGGATCCACAAAAGAGAATAAAAAATTTAAAGAAAAAACTTAGAGAAATTGAAACACTGGAAGAAAAGATAAAAAGTGGATTGTTAAAAAATCCAGAAAAAGAAATACTCGATAAGCTAGCGAGAAAAGCCGAAATTTCGAAAGAAATAAAACGATTAGAAACAAGTCAATAGAGAGAAGTGGAGTTGAAGAAAACTGTATTTACATATTCTCATGAATCATTATTTTGTAGTTGTACCTAAACAAATGTGTGTTTTTCAAATTTTAAAGAAGTTTTAATACAATCTTATGTAATGTCACACTTTCATCCTCTTTATACAGTAAATGAATGGCAATATAAAAATGTACATTTATATAAGAAGATAAAAAATGGATACTAATGAATTTAGTATGCTATAATATCACTATGTGAAAGATCAATCAGATTTTAATAAAAATTGTTTTTCCATATTATATGTTGTTATTTATATCATCGAAAATAAATATTACATATACATATCTGTATATGAATAATAATGTTTATTTATATTTTTTATTTTCCTAATAAATTTCACGAAGTGAAATTCAAGTACTAGGGATTTCGTATGATGGACACACTGACTAGCTTTATTTTCTTAGCAACCACTGAAATTCCCACACTGCAGTATCTATCTTATGTTTGCAACTACTGTATACAATCGTGTATTGTGTACTGTACAATGTGCAAAATGTAAAGGAAATATACAAATATTTTGTTAGCTTTCACCTTTACCATATGTCCGTAAATGAAGCCCTTCTATTCAATATCACACTGTGTATAATCAAAATGATATTCAATGGAATCCAATTGACAAAAAGATCGCGAAGCAGATTGAAGGAAACGCTTATCGGTTGACTATCGATGAAATAAATAATTAATGAGATCGAATTAATTAAAATTCGATGCCTCTCGGCAACAAACCTGAATGTGTCAAGTGTGGGACTCGAGAGACCCCGCTTTGGCACTCCACCGAAGCCGGTAATCTTTGCAATGCTTGTCTAGAAGAAGAGAGAAATTCTGAAGGGAATATAAACATAAAAATCGAAGATGAGGACAAAGGAGGATCGTTAAGACCCACCAGGAGAAGTACAAGAATCACGAGATATTGCAATTCTAAGTCAGTTACACACAAAATTATACCCAAAGGGAAAGGGAGAAGAAATTTATTTAAAAAAACTGTATGTCTATTGACTTTATAATTATTGGGAAAAAGAACATCACGCATGGTACTTTTTTCACTTCTTTTTTTAGCCAGTTAAAGCACCAACAGCTACAGCAACCCCAGTTACAAGTAATTATGTATTTTATAAAGGTACCTATTTTCAAGTGGGTGATATAGTTTCTATGCAGGATATCGATGGAGGGATTTATTATGCTCAAATTCGTGGTTTACTAACAGACCAGTACTGTGAAAAAAGTGCAGCTGTTACTTGGCTTTTGCCTACCACTGCAAGGTATATTATTAAAATATTTCCTGATTTACTTGTTGGTCTTAAGAGACTAAAAGTAGTAAGCTTATAATTTTATATTTAGTCCACCACCTGATGAAGGATTTACTCCTGAGACATACATTATAGGACCAGAGGAAGATCTCCCACGCAAATTAGAATGCATGGAATTTGTAATGCATGCACCATCGGATTATTATAAATTAAAAAATACACCATACCCACCATCACTTACAGAAAGGGGTACTGGATATATATGGACTACACTTAGAAATGAAATTGCTACATCTAAAAAATAAATTTTTATTTTGTAAATTCATTGTTTTAAAACTCTTTATGTTAACATTTTCGTTTAATCTCTCTTATGTATGTTAAAAACATATATCTTCAATACAATATAACATTATCATTTAACATTATCTTTGACGATTGAATTGAATGGAAGTGTTCACAAATAGGATAACACTAAGTATGCTGCTTTAGATATAGTAAATAAAATGCAATTTCATTAATATTATATAAGACTATATAAGAATAATAATGCAACTTTTATAAAATATAGTATCAATATTTCTAGATTTATAAGTTTTTACCTTTTTGTTATATACTGAGAATAATATTTCAGATACTGCAGAGCTTTATGTTTAAAACCAAACATAAATGGTTTTTTGAAATTTCGTGATACAATCCTCTTCAATTTGGAAATTGTATTTATGAGTGTTGAAAACCAATCTTCATTGTTTAATTCTGATACCGTTGAGACGAAATATATGGAGAATTTGAGGGCAATATTGGTGCATTCTCATTTGCTTGAAGGGAGGGGAAATAAACCCTTGTAGTATCACTTGCACTTGGGATTGTAGATGAAACCAGTCAGCTTGGAGCCAACGACGTAACGGCTGGTCAGAATTTGAGATCTTTTATAGCTTGTGGCAAATCAGGCAACTTCATATCCTTTATTTGCTGTGGTATGTTCATATTCTTGACAGCAGAAACAGCACGCGCCGGCGCTGCTGTGATTCCTGCCTGCACATATCATATGGATGGAAAAAATGGAAAACGGAAAAATTTTAAGGATTCTTGAATTTAAATTAATTAGTAGAAGTAAAGACAAATGAATAGCTACGCAATACATATTTTATTCTTAGAGCATAGGCGACGTATACATTTGCATTAAGGCACTGTTACCGAGCAAACATTTACAAACGATAGCACCATCATGCGTGTTATGAGTATTCATTTTGTAAAGCTAAGAAAGATTTATGTTTTGAAATTTTTGGTGAAAAAAAAAGATCACAGATTAAGTATACAGAGGAATGAGTGTGTACAAAATGATCTGATTTTTTTACGGCCGATTTACTTAGGGAGGGGGCCCCAGAAGGACAAACGGACGAGGTGAGCAAGATCGTCCTGATTTGTAAGTTCCCTAAAATTCATGTTAGGTCAATCAGTCCTATCACCATATGAAACTGCTCTACGAAACATTCCAATGCATGCACAGCTAACGATTAAACTGCTATAGGCTATTAATTTCTTTCAGCCCAGAAGAATTTTTCGCAATACTTTGAATGCCTTTCTACTTATAACTTAGTCATTACTACAAAATTTCAACAAATTAAAATTGAATTGGGCCCAAAAAGTTAAGGGATGTTTGCATAAATTAGTCATCACAACTGTGATTTAGTGAGTTAAACTTTATCACAGTGCACTTCTATATTATATACAACATTTGTTATCTTTAATATCCATAAACTATACAACTAAAGCTTAGACATACAACATATATATTGTTCTCTTCAATTCTAATTGTGAAATATTACTTACCTCTTGTTTTTCCAATTTATTTTGATCTTCAATTCTTGTAAGTATTTCAGTCATATTGGTTTCCAAAACCATTCCACCCATCACTAACTCATTAAGTATGTAATGAACTTTGTCTACATGAAAGATAAGATCAAGTTCACATACATTTTCGAAACATTTATCCAATGTTTCAACAAAAACTTGTATTAAATCTAAAATTCCCAACTCTGATTCAGAACTATCAACACAGAATACAAAATATAATGTAGCATAATGTCGATAAATCAATTTATAATCAGATCCACCAATTAAACTTCCACCTTCCAGAAAATTACAAACATTATCATCTCTCTTTGAAACTAGTTGAAATGTTTCTTTTATTATCTGTTGTTGCATGTCATCATTCTGAAGAAAAAAAAATATACATACATCCTGTTGTACTCCACAGTGCATTATAGTAACAAAGTCTAACTGCTGTTATACTTACAAAATATTGATAAAATTTAGAAAGTCTAGGCTTTCCATGATTATTGAATACTAAAATAGCTTTAATCATGACTACCAATCAGTTAAGAAGATAAATTCTATATTTATTGTATAAAAAATAAATGTTTATTCGTATATGCGAAGGTTAGAGTTTCGAATGTCAAAAAGACTTGCTACCCGTCAAAAATAATTAATCTTTTTCTAACATCGTATTGTCGAGAACATTTCACTAGCAACTTTCACTTAATGGACGTAAATTATCGATAAAATTTAAACAAATATTTCTTTTTACAGCTGACATTATACTTAAACGTGTTGTAAACTTTGCATTTTCATCTTCCTATCTTCCCTAACCTTTTTACTAATCAATGTAAGGTTACATTGGCAACTAATGGCGACTACTTTTATAATTTAATTAGAAAAGTATAGCTTCAAAATGATTATAATCGAATGATAGAATTATTCAGATAGAATTATTATTTGCACAACTGTTTTTCATTTCACATCAAGGTTATCTATTACCATTTAATAAACAATACAATCTGAGTAATGAACGCTAGGTGGTACTGCATTCGTACAATCATATTACTTTTGGCAAATCATTTTAGTATTATCCGTACATCTGTGAACACAAAGGAATCAAACTTTTTTCCTTTTTTTATTTTTGTATTGTCTATTTAAACACATTGTGAAATTGGTGCAATATATTTGTATGAATTGTAAGTGCAATTTTTCGACGAAAGTAAATGGAAAGCTGTCAAATGCAGTGTAACGCAATCACCGCATCTCAAAGGTAAAATTGTTTACAGTGAATTTAACTAAGCGGCTGTATCACAATGTTTGTATTAACATTTTGTATTATTTATTATAACATAAAAAGTTAAATAAATTTCATGCTGTTCGAAGAAATAAGTAATATGTGTTTACTACACTAATTTTTCATACAAAATTCATGTTTACTGTGATAAATTATTGATTTTTGTAATTAAATTAAACTTTCACGTCAGTTCTTAACTGATATAGTTTAGAATAATAACAAGTTAGGCTATTAACAAATGTACCGGAATAATTCGAAAAAATTTGATTTTTGTTATCTTCTCAATACTTAAGACTGTGATATCATTTGATTTATTACCCTATTCAGTTCTAGAGTAGACATTTATTTCCTTCGTAACATTATCCCAAATGTTTTGTGTTTATTTCTTGTTAAATAATAAAATTTTATGGGTGAAATGATTTTAATTATAATTAAACAACAAATGGATTCTACTTAAAAAAATTGACAGAGGAAAATGTCCATTGTTTATTCTTAGATGGACAGATTACGACTATTGCCATTGGAATTGCCATCAGCCACTAATATAAATAATAATGGAACAGTCAAAGGAAAAATATCATTTGTTCGAAGATTAGCAGTAGGATTTGTCATCTTGGCTACATTAGGTTTATTATATGTACCAGCATACCATTCTGCCCAAGGTCCATTTTTAGGCTTAGGTGAGACTCCATCCCCTGCAAAACATATTGGTGTTTCACATTTGGTTGCCTCAGTAGGTATGCATCCACTAACATTGCCTGAGCCTTTGGTGCATTATATATAAACTAACTAGTTTTGATATTGAAATCTGCTTTTGCTTTTCTCCTTTTAATTATCAATCAGTTTCAATTTTAAATTCTTTGGATTCTATTATTGCAAGGTTGAAAAATTGAACAAAGAATTATAAATAGAGATTGAATAAAATATACTTATATGATATACATAAAACTTTTAATAAGTTAAAAAACAAAGAAAATGTTTCTGTTAGAGTAATCAATATAGACAAGAATTTGTAGTAGAAGTAGTAAGAAAAGAAATAAATCTAAGTAGTAGAAAAAGTATTAACAATGTATTTCAATTTTTCTTTTTCCATCTATTTATTGTAGTACGCTTGAGTGTTGCTAAAGTAAAATGATTATTTATTTTTCTTAGCATGCACAATTTTGAAGCTTAAAGGAAAGATTCCTGTAAATTAAATTTTTTTTTATAGAATTAGGGTACAGTATTTTTAAATAAATGATTTACAGCACAGTTGCCAGGATGGGCACATAATACTTCAAGAGATCTGTGTGTATATATTCATCCAGAAAATATAACGTCAATTTTAAGTCCTACTGGTATATGTTCTCCATCACCATATCTCCTCATAGTTATTTGTTCAGCTGTTACAAATTTCAAAGCTAGGACAGCTATAAGAAATACTTGGGCTAATAAAAATAATTTAGATAGTACATATAATTCTACAGTAAAAATAGCATTTCTTTTGGGACAAAGTGACAATGATACACTTAATGTATGTACCTACAAGTGAATTGTTTTAAATAAAAAAGTATAGTAATAAAATAAATGCAAACTTACATTACAGAATATAATAGTTGAAGAAAGTCATAAAAACAATGACATCATTCAAGAAACATTTTATGACACATACAATAATTTAACATTAAAATCTGTTATGATTTTAAAATGGGTAACATCAAACTGTGGCCAAGCAAAATATCTCATGAAAACAGATGATGATATGTTTGTAAATGTACCTATTTTAATGAAAACCTTACAATCAAGGTCACAAACTACTGATACATTACTAGGTTCACTTATTTGCAATGCCAAACCTATTTTAGATCCAAATAATAAATGGTAAGTAATATTTATACTATAAAATAAATATATAATAAGATGTATAGATATAGTCCAAATAAATATGTTTAAATAGGTATACACCAAAATATATGTATTCAGAGAAAATGTATCCTAATTATTTATCTGGTACGGGGTATGTAATGAGTTTAGATGTGGCATTTAAATTATATCATGCTGCATTAAAAACACCATTACTTCATTTGGAAGATGTTTATATCACTGGTCTTTGTGCAAAACATGCAAAAGTTAGACCTGTAAATCATCCTGGTTTTAGTTATGTTCCACGTAAATTGGATCCTTGCATATTAAAAAATGCTATTACAACACACAAAGTTAATGTATCTAGTATGTATGTAATATGGAACAAATTGAGTGTTACAAATCTTTCTTGTGGTAGTCATTCTCATAATGATAAGAAATCAGTTACATTAAGTAGAAATGGTAGAAATATTGGATACTATATAGTAAAAAGGAGAAATATCAATAAATGTGTTTAAGTTAATTAGAATTTTTAACCATCAAATTTGTTATTTATTGTTAATGTAATGTTTGTGTAATGAAAATAATGCTAAGAAATAGGTCAATTCTCTTATAATAATTACATAACAAAATTGCTTATAATCTTAGTAATTTTTTATTTTACTTAGGATACTATCTCTTTTAAAAATGTGTGCTACAAGAAAGACTTGTAGTTGATATTTGACTAACGGTTTTATAAACTGTTTTTCCATTTCAATGCCAATAGTTTTTAAGGAATCTCTGTCAATTAGACTACCTATATGGGTTAATTTTTTTGTCTCCACATAAAAAATGTTAACCATTCAATATTCTATTTAAAAAGAAAAAAAAAAACAAATTACAAATTACAAATTTTAAAAAGGGAATATTGACGACAATTTAATATATCGAATTTCGTACAATGATTGATCAGGTGTTTTCCACAACTTTATCATGCTTCCTTTAGAATCTCATTAACCTTGATACATATAATTAAATTCCGATAAGTTTCTATTTCTAATAAAATGCTAATTATGTCCTGCATGGATGTTATGTGAATTTTGTGATGGTTGCATATTTATACATTATAACGAATTGTTTCTACTATTTTATAAAAATTTTAGATAACATCAAAATTTAGAAATATTTTGACGTTCTTTATTACGATAAAATATTTTTTAATTTATTTGATATAGATCTGCAATTCGTACTTATTAAGATGTAGTTAAAATTTTTAAATAATCATACGTATCTTATTAAATATTATGGTTAGCAAAATATACCAAACAGCAGAAAATATATAAAGTACATCATAAGTGTGTAACATTACACTTATTGCCTAACTAGGAAAAAAGTTTTCTGAAATAAATACATACATATGTATTTGACTTCGTCACAATTCTAAGAGAATTGTTATAAGAATGTACTTATATACATTATATATTTTGCTATTTGCACATGTTGTCAGTAGGTTTTAATAGTTATTTCTTTAATAAAAGTTTATTTTGTTTAAAATTTGTATATTGTAAATTATAAAACATTGATATTTTTTCATACTCGAATATTGTAATTATTTCAAGAGCTATATTGTAAAATTTTTAAATTTAGTGCATGTTATTTGTTACATATAGCATTATAATTACCAGTAATCTATATACAATATCTTAGTAAATTTAGTTAAAACTATTAAAAATAGGAAGTTCATCCATCCATTTCTTTAGTGAATATATCTTGTGCAAAAAAATCGTTGTTAAAGTAATATTGCGATATTTATTATGTATCAACGACATAATGTACACTTAGGAATTAAGAATTTGATGTAGCCTATCATGTGGTGAAAACACATAAAATTTTGTAAAAGTTCGTTATAACGTAACAATTAATACTAATGATAATTATAATAATAATAATAATGAAAATTACATCTCTAGTACTCGAATTGACTACCGTTTTATACGATATTTTAACTATTATGTATATGAAGAAAGGGCAACATTCCTTGCTAATCCTATTATAAAATACACAATTAGTGCGTCAATGTTGAAATCAATTATTAGCTCAATTAAATAATACAAATTCACACTTATTAAGCTTGTCGAGTGAGATCTGTTCACTAGTGAAAGCAAAACTAAGATTACTAACGACTCTACGGAGTATCCTAGTGGCCTTAGAAAACTTGTTTTATTTTATATAAATATATTGCTCGAAACATTGAACTTCGAAATCTCCCTAGCATGTTACGAAATTTGGTGCTACATAGCAATTAATTATACCTACGTTTGCCGTATACGCTTCTGTACAAATTGTCGATCAATTTTTATGAAAACCAGGTAACACAAAATGTGTAATACAAAAACTTTATTTTTAAAGTTAAAATTCACGGTTTTTACGAAGAAATTTTCTTTGAATACATTATGATGCTTGCTGTTCCTTAAACGGACTGTACATAAGTGTATAAGGTATTAGAATATACGAAAATTTAATAATACATTTATCTCTATAAATGCATATACGTGTGTGTGAAGATGATTTGTTATACGCGTCTACCGAATTGTCAAAAATTTGTGTCTATTAATAAATTGTATAAAAAAAAGAGAAAAATATTAAGAGCATGAAAAAAATGTGTTTTAATTTTTTACATAAGGAAAACAAATGAAACAGAAATGATAGTAAATAATTATTTCATAAAGTTTTAATTAACAACACCATACTTACAAAAATACTAGTAATATATTTAGAAAATAAATACATAGCAAATATTTTATATGCATCACAAGACCACTGTTGTATACACAAGTGTTTATGTACAATTATTACAAAAATTATTACATCTTTGTATATGCAAAGAAATCTAATTTTTCCTGTTTTACATTTTTCGATGCGTTTTCTTTTTTTTACCTTTTTTTTTGTGTTTTTTGAAGTGATCAGTTTTATCTGTTGTAATATCACTTACCATTAGTTTCTGTACTATTGTATTTAAATTCTTTTTGGTATTTTTTTCTTCTGCAGATTCTTCATTATTAAAATGAACAGTCTCTAAACCTTTTTGTATGCAAGCTAAGTTTTTTTTCTCTTTTTGACGTAATTTTGCCTGCTTTTTTTTCATTATTTTAGCATTTAAATAGTCTGTCTTCTTCTTGAGGTATGTGTCTGGTAATTTTGAAAAAGATTCTGTTGTACCTATAGGTAAATCCCTAACTTTATGTGACTTTGTAGGTTCTTCATTCCAAGAAAATTTTGTTTTAAATATAGACTCTGATGTACTAATGTCTTTATTTTCAATCAAAAATTGTTCATCTGAATCGCTTTTACATGACCTTTTAAGTTTCTTTGCCAAAAAACCATCCAGTTCCTCATCTTCACACATATTCTTACGTTGATTATTTTCATTTTTTTTTCTTTTTAATTTTTTCTCCTTCTTCTTCTTTTTCCTATACATATAGGTATCACTACATTCCTGTTTAAAGTGATCATTTTCTTGTGCTTGAGTAAATTTTTGGCTTACAGAAAATGATGTATCATCTAATTCATTATCATCTTCCTCTTTTTCAATTCCTTCATCATCATTGGATATGATGCTTTTCCTCTTTTCCCTCTTTTTTTTCTTCTTTCTGCTTTTATCTTTCCGTTTTAATGCTAATTCCTCATCATTATCATTTAAGTTGCATAAAATATTTAACTGATGGGTCAAATTATTTATTCTTCCTCTATTTTTTTTTCTAACAGTTTTAGATACTTTTGGAACTATTACTTCTTGAGTAAAAGTTATAGGCAATATTGTATTTACATTATTAATCATTTCATCTTTGTCATCTTCATATTCATTATTATTGTTATATAATATTTTTGACATATTTATATTTGAATTTGTGTTTAATACATTTTCTTCCTGCTGTGCAATTCTTGTTAATTTTCCACTTAATGTTAAGCCATGCCTAGCTCCTTTATGGGCAGTTCTACCACCACATACTTTGAATAATTCTTCATCTGTTAATGGAGTATATGTAATGTCTTTCTCAATATTTTTTTCCTCATATACATTGGAATTATTTTCTGTTGTTAAAGTGCCATTAAGAAGTGTAGAAGTTTTAAGAAAATTACTATAGTTTGTAGAATATTTTGATTTTTCTTCATTTAAATTTTTCTTAGAAAAATCATTGTTTGCACTTTCCTTTGAAACTGATATAGAAACACCTTGTGTTTGTGATTCAACTATGATACTATTAGCTGCTTTGTTAAAACCACTTTCCCACCAATTATTCCAATGTTTATCATTGTGTCCAATTCCTGCAGTATCAAATTTTAATTTTGGCCTAATTGCTTGTGTGATACCACTTTCATGTTTACCTAGACCTTTACCTATATCGATAATAAAATATAAATACATTAAAAAAATACTGAAAGCAGCCACAGAATAGTAAAATCAAAATACATATTTTAAATATTATAGATAACACGTATAGTACTTATAAATTTATTCTATTATTATAATACTTGTAAAATCATACCTTCTATCCACCCATATTTCATAAGCTGAGTTTTAGCAAAATCATTCATATTTAAATTTTTGTTATCACAATTTTATACAAAATATTATCGTTTTATAACCGAAGAATGGAACAGGACTTGCGAACAGTATAAACGTTTTTATTGACACAGAACTTGAACAAGCTAGAGAATGAAAACTATTACTATTTTCTGAAAGTTACGCATGTTTGCGTTTTTATAGTACTCGTAAGGTAGCGTTGCCGTAGAGTTGTACGCTAGTGGATGTTTTAAAGAAATTTTGTCCAGTTTCAACATCTAAAAAGTTGTCAAATTTATTTCATATATTTAATGTTCTACTCTGAAATAAATTTTTCATCAATAATTTGAGAATTTTTACGTATATACTTTAATAAAAATTTTATCGTACAATTTCTTTAATTACTTTGCTAATGATAGATCTTGAAATATATACAAGACGTAAAATGACGTTATCATTACTTGTAGCAACTTTAATCAATTATATAACTGCTTGATAGACGGAAAGTTTCTATTTAGCAATAAAATAAAATATGTAAAAGCGTGTACTATCGATATATGTATATAATATATTAGTCGTTACAAAAAAGATGTTCAAGGCTTCAGATAGTTTAACAACTTGTCCATGATTTGACGTTCATTAGCCAACAGCACATTAAGAATGTCTTTATAATATGTATCTTGCCCTAACGTTAACTTGTATATTTGCTATGATAATTTTGCCTGCCCCACCATTATACAGCGAAATTTATTCGATGCAAGCTACCGATATTGTTCGATGGCAGAGAAATGAACAATCTTAAACAGTGGGCTTGATTTAAAACACGTTTCACGGCAACAGTAGTGTCGAAATATTTAATTACATTAAAAACGAAAAGAGGTTTGTGAACTTTATTTCTTTATAAATATTTATAATATTTTATGAAATTTAAATTTTTACGTAAACATTTTATCTTAGCTACATTACGATTCAATATTCAGTATCTGTTAGAGTCAATAAAATTAATTAACGCTTTATTTTAATTGATTAAGTTCGTAACAACAAAATTGTACGATTTTTTCGAAATTTTTATAAACGCTTGTAATTTAAAGTTTATGTATATGTTTTACACAATGTTATTCATGTTTTTTAAAATTAATGTATACTTTTTGGATCAATTTAGGTAAATATTGATATTTAAAAAAAAATGGCATTCCGTGAATTAGTTGAGGGTGACTGTGGTGGACCTAGTTCTTTGATTCGTTTAACATCACATTTTGTACGTGATCATGGATTCAAAGAAGAAGGAATACGTCATCCTTTTGAGCCTGTGGAACCTTTTCAAGCTTCAGATTCAGATCAGTTAGTTAAACAATTTTTAGAAGAAAATCCATCATGTCCTCAGACATTTAGAATGGATAATTTATTACAAGAAATGCGTGAAATTGATCAAAACATTCATCCACCTATAGCAGCACCAGGAGTTGCTCAAGAATTAACCAGTTTAGATACAGCTTGGGCAAATCAGTATCTTGAATCAGGACGTCATTTTAATGTAAGTTTTCATTTAATATTACAGTGCATAAATTAGTAACATCATGTTAGAAATCAAATTTTTATTAGCCCTTCTATTCATGTAGGAACACCATGCTGATGATATTTGGAATCCTGAAGTAGAACAAAATTCAAATATTTTGGATCCCCAAAAGCATGAATTGGGTTTAGGACCAAAATGGGCTGAAGAATATATAGAACATAGTATAGATGCAATACAGAGTAACATAAATATGGAACACACAACACAGACAATAGAAAATACCGATAATCCTAATTTTGAATATTCAAAGTTTATGAAATTTATGAAACAGGAAGGAGATATTCCTATAGAAAATAATCAAGAATCACTGCCAGATTTACACAATACGAGCAAAGACTGGATAGAACAGCATGAAAAAGATAATCAAAAGCCTGAAGACAAAACTTCTACTAATAATAATGAAGAAAGTGAGGTGCTGAGTACAGTAGAAAAAGATTTAACTGTTGCTGGTAATTGGATAGATGAATTTCAAAAAGAAAATGCTTCTTCAGGTCAGTGTAGTAGATTTTAGTACCAAATAAAGCCTTCAAACCGAAATGTTTATAAAAAAAATTTTATTTTAGAGGTAGATAATTATGAGTCTACATTTTTACGACTTCAAAACGAATGGGAAAAAATAACGTCGAGCGAAGAATTATCTTCTAAGCACCCGTGGCTTTCAGAATATGATACTTTCTATGATCCATTCAAAGATTATGAATTTCACGAAGAAAATCCTATGAAAAATTTACCTGATGCATTAGAGGAGGGTAAAAAAAGATTAGAAGCAGGAGATTTACCAAGTGCTATACTTTGTTTTGAAGCAGCAGTTCAACAAGATGAAAATAATTCTGAAGCTTGGCTGCTTCTTGGTAAAACACAAGCTGAAAATGAGCAAGACCCACTGGCTATTTCTGCATTGAAACGTTGTCTAAGTTTGGATCCTGCAAATGGTGCTGCTCTAATGGCACTTGCAGTTTCATATACAAATGAATCTTATCAAAATCAAGCATGTGTAACTCTTAAAGAATGGTTATTAAAAAATGAAAAATACAAGCATCTTTCTGTACAAAAGGCTAGCACGGAACAACAACCGAAATCTAGTGTATCGTCTATTCTATTTGAGTAAGTAATAACTTTGATAATACGAGAATAGAATCACGTCTAATAATATTATACCTATTACTTCTAGCGATGTACACGAAGAAGTAAAAAATCTTTATATTCAAGCCGCACGAATGAATCCGTGGAAGGAAATAGATGCAGATGTGCAGTGTGGATTAGGAGTACTTTTTAATTTATCTAACGAATATGACAAAGCTAGTGATTGTTTTCAAGCAGCGTTACAAGTACGCCCTCATGTATGTATTAAATGAAATTTGTCTCTTTGCATACAAATGATTGTTATTATGTTATCAAAATTATAATATTTTCGGAAGGATTCCAGATTGTGGAATAGATTAGGTGCAACTTTGGCTAATGGTCAGAAATCGGAGGAAGCTATAAATGCATACCATCATGCCTTAAAGTTATCACCTGGATTTATTAGAGCTCGTTACAATCTCGGAATTTCTTGTATTAATCTTTGTGCATATAAGTAAGTAAGCTTTTTTTTTTTGATATTGTACACTATTTTTATTTTTGCAGTATGCAATCGCTTATTTGTTTACAGAGAAGCAGGTGAACATCTTGTAGTAGCCTTAAATCAACAAGCTGCAGGTCGCGGATTGCAAGGCGAAAGTTTGTCACCGAAAGCAATGTCGAATTCTATTTGGTCAACATTGAGACTTGTTGTTTCGCTAATGCACAAATACCACTTAAACGAAGCTATAGAAAACAGGTATGACTTAATAAATACTTTTCGATCAAAACTGTCGAAACTCATTGTGTGTGTGTGCGTGCGTGCGTGCGTGCGTATGTGTGTGTGTATATATATACATATATATATATACGACATTCTTTATTATTTCAGAGACCTAACAAGGTTGAACAAGGAGTTTGAAATTGTATAAAAACTTGTAAACTTATTGAACTTGTTTGTTAAAAAGTATAAACTCTTTTTAACTTAGTATTTAAGATATCGTAAAATAAAATGATTAAAAATATTTTTAGTAGTTGGAAAGTGTACATATAAACAAACTAGAATTGCTATCATATAATTTCTTTATTAAAGAAAGGTTAATTTAAAA